AGACAAACACATGTGTTGATATTCTCTCAACCTGCGCTGGCAAGCAAAGTTCCAATATCTGGCCCAATAATTCAAAAAAGAGCCTCGCTCTTTGCCAAAGAATTTAATAACAAAGTTTAAGGCAGTAATCGGGTGGCTGTAGACTTTCATCAATAGGCACAACCTTGTGTTTGGCAAGCAATTAGCGAAAGCGGTGACTGAGATAAGTGTGCTGCATCAGACTGAATAGCAAAATTACCCTAAATATGTTCCGGTTACGCAGCTGAAGACGTTTAGAATTTGGACGAAACTGGGTTGTTAATCAAAGCTACATGTGAAAAACATTTTTGTCAAACGAGTAAAATGTGCAGGTAGAAAAAGAAGCAAGGAGTGAATCAGAGTTATGTTGTGTACTAACATGCTGGGGGAGCGGGAACTGGCCACAGTGACTGGGAAATCAGCCAACCCCCGAACTTATCAAGACAATCAATTTCCCTGAGGATGCCGCTGATTCTCTGTAGTTCTTCGTTGACGGTATCCGGTGTACAAATAGTGCGCGCCCAGAAGGCGAGAGATCTGATTAAACTCCTCTTATGATGTAGAGGTACTACGTTGTAGAAGTAAGTGTACTGCTCAGACCATGTGTGCTCTCTGTGTACCCTTCTGTTGCATGATCCGTCCGAGTTACGGATAAGTTGTACATCCAAGAAAGGTCACCGGTTTCCGAATTCGTGTTCATATGTGAAGTTGACATTCTCGTGTGCGTCGTTGAAATCTTTCAGCAACTGTTCCGCATGCTTTTCGGATTTGCAAAGTACGAAGGTGTCGTCGACATACCGCACGTACATTTCGGTTCCACCGATATGCGTTGTAAGTGAGCCATGTTCCAATTTCGCCATGAAAATATCGGCCAACAGCGGCCTCAAAGAAGATCCCATGGCCACTCCGTCAATCTGACGGTACATTTCACAATTGAATGTGAACTGAACATTCAGCGTGCAATGAAGTAGTACCCTCTTTAGAAAATCCTCCGGAAAGTTGTGTATATGAGCAGTTTCCGAGCAAACTTCGCATAAGTAATCCACGGTTTCGAGCAATGGAATGTTTATGAACAGCGACTAGACATCGAATGATGTCATCCTTCCGTTATCAAGGTTGATTTCGGATTTCATCTCAATGAATTCGAACGTGTCTCCCACGCAATAAGTGCAAAACAAATTCCGTAACGGCTGCAGCCGCCACCACCCATTGAGCCAACAAATGCTGGAGGGAACCCACCATGTCCAAGCTTGGGCGCATTGGGGCATTTCCCTTGTGAACTTTAGGCAGGCCATATAATCCTGGTATCCGTCCACCTAGCTTTTCGAATTCCTTGTTCGTGATGTGTTTGGGTTGCATCACTCGACTGAGGCAGCCGGTCCGCTGTTCATCTAACTCCCATCAGTGTTGTCTTTTCCTACCAGGAGCCCCTGGAACTTACTCTCTTCACTGAGGATGTGCTGCATTTTACGAATGTAACGCACCCTATCCATTAGCACTATGCCAGAACCCTTGACTGGCTTAGAGATTATTAAGCCGTTGTTTAATCATAGCTCTAAGTGACTGAATTTGTTCTCTAGTGATAATACTATTACTAGATGGTTTGGTCTTAACGTATTCGTGACAACTATGAAGTTGACTAGATTTTAGATTCTCAACATCACTTGAGGAGGTTGGAAGGAGGTATTTAGTCTGAGCAATTAGGCTTTCAAACTGCACCTCTAAAACCGCCTGATCTATTTTCGTACACGGAATGCAAAACTTTGAACCTAATGATAACACTTTTAGCTGCATCTGAGTTAGTATCACACTGGAAAAGTTAAACACATCGCTGCGGGTTAATCGGAAATGCCAACTGGGGGACATGGCTATCAGGCGTACTAACTAAGTACCTTTGTTTCCTTACTCCAATTTTCAGTTTAACCAGTTCTACATATTCCTCAAAAGGCTGTCTCAATTCTTCAGGCAGGCATAACATCGCTGGTAATCATTGCGAAATGAGTCCCTCCAGCTCCGACATCGTAACGCGGATGGTATCCACCTAATTGAGCACATCTCACTTCAAGATTATTGCGTTTGGGTAGAGGCCACCCCGTTGTATTTCCCTCCAAAAGTGCTTGGGATAGCCGCTTGCCTGCACGCATTTATTGAGGAATCCCAATTCCACCCTGGATTCTTCCAGCTGAGTATTGAACTTCAGATGCTCATTCAAGAGCACCAGTGAATCGCGAGCAATGCTGGTCTTCAGCAAAGCAAATATTCCTATTTCATGAATATGAATCAATATCAGAATTCCCTTCAATGTAAAGAAAGCTTTTCGGTAAACTCTCATCAGACCCAAAAGTTTACATTGCACTGATTTTACGGAAAGCGTCAACTCAGACTGGGATTGACTTCTGGGCTGTTTGAAGGATCAAAACCGATAGCTTGAGACGGGATACCGATGGTAAGCCAAGTGAACTAACTAAACAAGCATACACGAAGCTCAGTAGCCCGAAGCAGGTTAGGTAACAACCAAATAACTATGTACCAGTGTCAGTTGGCCAAGGAACGCAGTCGGAAGCCATCTAGGATCATTGCTCCTAAGAAAGAACCTTCGAATTATTAAAAACATCAACGTGAAATAACTACCGGCAATTTACAAGGATAATAATAAGGAGTGGATAACAGCAGTTACTTCGGAAGTTTGGCATAAAAGCCTTGATAAAAAGATGCAGCAAAAAAGGCGTAACATCATTTCGCTCTTTGAAAATGACCCTTTCCCTCCCAAAATTCAGCTAAAGAATGTCAAACTCCAATTCCCACTACCTACCACCACTGCGCTAGTTCAATCTCTTGACCAGGGTGTCATTCAAGCACTTAAATTAAAGTTTAGGAAAGACAGTTTCTATATATTATTACCATCATGGAAGCACATGAAGATATGTCATTAACTGAAATCATGAAACGAGTAAATTTATTGGACGTCGTGTTCTGTATAGCTGCCGCATGAAAGGAGGTGGCGAACTCAACAAGTGTTTTTGTAAAGCAGGGTTTCCTTGTCGTGCAGACATCGATTCTGAGACAATAACGCAAACTAGACCTAATGCAGACGAGCAAATTGTACCTCCTACAACCTCTACTACATTGGATAAGCTTTCAAAGGAATTGTTTAGACGTCAAATTACTGACACCCAAATCTTGATTCAAATCTCCAAACTTGTAACACAAGGGAAATAAACTGGGACGTTCCTGCCACTTCAACTCTGGTGAGTCAGACGACGAGCAGGAACAAGATATTACAGACGTTCTGCCAGCGTATAAATTCACAAGAGCACAGGTTGTTGTTGATATATTGCGCTCTTACGCAATAATTAGAGGACTCACTGACATACTTTAAACTTATCCTAAATGTGAGGGGAAAACTAAAGTCATCTTTCATTTCAACTGCAAAGTAACAAAAAACTATGCTTTATTTTTATTTGGTGGTAAATTTTACAGACAATAGAAGTGTATGTGGGTATGATTTTGTTAAGACTTGTGGACTACACGGAGATGTAGGTTGATTTTATAATGTCTACTTATTTACTGAATGTTCTTACATTTTTACTGCTCACAGTATAGGATCGTACTGTTTTTGGTTTAATTCGTAAAATATGGATAACTATAGATGTTGCCTGTGTACAGACGTAGTTTGTAATTGAAAGCGCAGTATACATGTGCAATCGATGGTGAGTAGTGCCCCCCCCATGCATGAACATGTCTATGGCGACCACCTGTCCAAGGAGACCATTTTCTGCTGGTCCCCTGAGTGGTCGATTTAGACAGAGGTTTGACTGTTATGAGACATGAGTCCTGCAACTTTGCAAAGCGTAAAATGGAACTGTGCACTCTAGCTTAGCATTTACATACAGTACTTTCGAGTAAAAACAACTCGTAGTGGTATAGGGGATTATTGTGATTTTTTCGTTGTTAGAGGTACCTAACCGTGACAGATTTCCTGGCGAAATGGTGGCGGAATAACGGCCAACTGAAGCAGCTAACAGATTTTGGTAAATTGCCGTCGCTTGGAATTGCCTGGAACAATAGAATACCGTGGCAAAAAAGCGCTGCACAATTCCAGCTGTCACACTATAGTAGTGGATTTAAAAGATGGATAAAAGTAGTAAGGGTTTGTCAGACATTATCAATGACGACACAATTTCAACGACTTGCAGCTTACGATCCACCGTCCTCTCCAGGTTCATTCGGATACGTAAAAATGGATGGTCCCCGACAGTGTCAACTTCGTCTAGTTCATAAGAAATATGTACCAAGAAGGATAGAAACGAGGTTACCCGGAAATCTAGCGAGAAAAGCTGTCAATTGTACATTGAGTTGCAAAGTGAAAGGAATCGAAGTGGATTTAATTCGGTATACGATGATCCACATAAGATCAGATGAAACCTTCGAGGAAGACCAAGTGCGATATGTTGCAGTTCGTTTATTGATGAACTTAAGTAACTTTACGCACAAGGTCTCTGACCGCGGTTGTTCCCAATGCACAGGCCCATGGTTATTCTTTTTTAGTTAGTGCTTATACTCTTACTTATTCCAATGTGGTCTGTTGACATTGTGGTACACTGCCCCGAGAGCCGGATGCCCAGGCCAAAATCAGTGAAAGAAAACGGTCAGATAGGGTCAAACCTGTCTAAGGCGACCACTTAAGAAACTGACAAAAAGTGGTCTCCTTGGATAGGTGGTTGTCATAGGCAGGTTCATGCATAGGGACATTACTCATAGGAGAAAACGTTGGGGATGTTTTTGGCTGGTCGCTATTCACAAATGGTCGCCATGACAGGTTGGACAATATTTCGGCCAGCATAAATGGCTGATAAGCAATTACATTCCCGTTAGCGTTCAGGTGTTGTAGGTGGTTATGGCAAAAGTGGAAAACAAGCGTCATTGAATAGGCAGACAATCCGATGAGAATTATTCGCGATATCATCAATCAAGCCACTCACCGCACGTTGTACTGAGGTCGGGATGTGATGCTGTGCAACAGATGGAATGATACCAGGGGATTCACTTGCCGATGCCGCAATTCTCTGATCATTCCCTTCGGATACCGACATCGAAGGGTCTATGGCCGAGTGACAACGTGGGTGTCGAACTCTCTGGCGATGATGGTGGGGACGATGGGAATAGCGACATGAAGCAGATCTGGAGCGACCCCTGTTGCGTGGACCGAAGGGAGAGTACTGGTCACCGGCCTCATCCAGATCGCGGTCACTGTGCGACGAATGTCCAAGTCGATGGGAGGAACGTTCTGTATCACTTTGGCAGCCTCCAGGAGTGCCGAAACAGTTTAGCTCAGGTGTGCTCGCTCTGCTATTATTTTCAGAATCGTCCCTAGCATTGGTGCACAAATTACGCGCACTGAGTGCACTTCGGGTGGCTAAACTGAGACAAGACACAGAATGTAATCCATTCGGACCAGTGATCAACCCAGTAGCCAAAGGATGCAATGATTGTGGTGAACCGAGATCATCGTTTTCTGCTCCTGAATCGATTAGATTAATGTTGTCAGCCTTTTGAGACCAATCGCACGCAAACGGCTTCGATGAAGATTGTTGATACGCATCCAAGGAACAGCGATCAGTTGGAGCGGATTGGAGACTGCAGAGTTTGCTGTCGCGACGCTGATGCAAAGTGGAAGTGGTTTTAGTGTACATAGTGCAAAGAGGAATACTCGTAGAAGGAAGGGTACGTTTAATAGGACACACGAGTCGATTGTACTTTGGGGAGAAAGTACACAAGGCGAACAGGACTCGATACTGAGCGAATGGCTGCACTCACATCACAGATAACTTCTTGATTTAACCAAGGGTTCAATACAAAGGACAATAGCGAGTCGAAAAGATGGACTCAAATAACGTTCGTGGATAAAGCTAACTTACTTCAGGAGCTGGTGGGGCCAGTCTGTAAGGTTTACTTCGAAGTTCCGATCCGTTCGCTGGTCTCTCTTCTGAGGACCGTGTTACAAGCTCGCCAATTGCAGGGGTCTTGTCAACTACGGGAGAGTGGGGCCGATTTACACTTGGCTGAGTCGCCGCTATGTCTTGTGTGGAGGTCGAAACTGGTGAGCATTTGACCACATGAGTACCAGGCATTTGTATCCCTTTTGTTTGGTGGCTGTCTAACAGCCTTTGTCCGCCGCTTGGGAAGACCGGAAGCAAAGGCTTGATGGAGGCGAAGGGCAACAGATATCGCCAAATTACAGAAAAATAAATTAATGGCAATTACAAGGAAGACTGCATTTCAGGTAGTAAACATATCTCAGCACTTGGTACGTCAGGCTAAAGGTAGGGCGACAAAAAAGCAGCCGAAAAATAGCTGCACTTAGGTGTTCAATTTGTTGCGTGCGGAAATCAACATTCTCCACAGACTGGGAGTGTAGATATCGCACACTGCAAAACGACCCTGTCAACTGACACAGACAAATTATTCGGATCTTCTCACCATTCGTATCCAATCAACCTGCGATGAACGCGAAAAAGGCTATCGGTAGGATGGGCAAGGGAAACTTGGTTCGTAGCTACCTAAGCAGTAGTTGTGATCCACTCAGCATTCCATGTGAGTCAGAAGTTTTGATCAGGGTTGACAGTTGCTGCGATCTAAGACTCAACTTAGGGTTCAAGTCACTATGAAATCAATTTCTAACGATTTATGGGCACGGTTCTTACCGTACGCCTACCGTATTGTCACGTTGGTGGGAGGGACAGAAAGTAAAACCAAGGATAATACTTTGCATTGGGTGTTTCTCGCGTGCGTTTCCCTTCGGTAGACGCTAGACTTCGATAAGTGAATCGATAACTGGTGGAAGAGGTAATGTGCGACATTGTTCGTTAGTTCATTTCAAACTGGGACACTAGTATGGGTGCTCACCATCTACCACAAAGAATCAGGACAAGATGAGTACACGGTCAAATTGCAAAGACAACAAATCAAAAATGTGATCCATGGAGTTAAGCACTACCAAAAATACCCCCGAAAAGAGCCGCAACAACAGATGAACGGTCGGGGTGCTGTTGTGAACAGGCCGGTGATAGTAGCCGTCTCACATAATCGGCCAAACGAGTGATAAACTATGGATCAAAAATCAGAGCTATTATCCACTACGGGCTGATTACCTTTCCTGTGTTTGGATCAAGGTAGATGACTTGATTACTCAGCGTACCCAGTTCAGTAGTTCTGGCCAGCACAGCGTAGCCCGGGGGGACTCTGAAGCGAGCTGCCTGAGACATCACTCCGGTTACTTCTCCAACCGCGGTGCCTGACTGGGTAGGGAGACGAACAGCTGCGGACTGAACAGTGGTTATGGGCACCACAGCGGTAGACGCCAAGCCACTTGCGCTGGTTTCGAAGGCGACAACGGGTACGCCGCATCTCAAATGTGACACATTCGGCGTTTGTGAAGGGAAGAGTAGTGATGTGTGCATACCAGGATTGGTGGGCAACACAGCCATGCCTAATGTTCTCTGATAAGCCGAGCCTGTATAAAGTGGATGAATAATGCAAAAGCAGTTCACCACTGTATCATGATAAACAGTATTGCATCGGCGAATTTGACTGATGCTCCGTTGCCGTACAACCACGATGATTTGAGGAAACAAAATAATAATAATAATAATAATAATACTTAGAGAGCGAAGAGGTACCTAGCATAAAACCTTAGTGCTCTAGGCAAACATACAGGGTCAAGGTACCTACACCTTGTCAGCAGCATACCGTTGCAAGCAGCTGGCTATCGTGTACAAATAAGACGGCATCAGCGAGACAGCTTCCTTTCGGCTTTCACTACCCCGCGTCATAATTAGCCATTATCATACAGATAGCTCAGCACTAAACACACTTTAAACAGGCAGTGCGAATAGGAGACGGCGAAAGACGTGCCACTGATGCCGACCGCGAGCCATGTCCTGTAACGTTTTGAGCCAAGCACAAAACGAGTCACGTGTACTCCAGCCTGGAAGGCGAGATGGACCGACGGCACCCAGTTTGGCTGTCCTTCCGCTCTACAAATGTGAACGGTATAGGTTACCACCCTAAGATAGTGATATGATGTTGGAACAAGCTGAACCCGGTATACCACAGCTATATAACAACCCGTTGGTTGGAATATACTTGGAACCGATCGAGAAGTCATGATATCAGAGTGATTTATGGATAATCGTTTGGTTTATTTGGTTGGTAACCTTTCGCTTTTGATACAAAGGCTTGGTAAGGCCAGGTGAACTGGTACCTAGTTGGTGTGGAATTTTATAGTGGGTGAAGGAGATAATCGTGACAACTGAGGTATGAGTCAAGAGACTTACAGACACAGATGGAAAAGTCATCTCAATTGGTCAGTCAGAATGGGACTGTTGTCGGGGTTTCACTGTCTGTCATGTCAATCAACGCCTTGGTGAAGATGATGATGATGTCACTTTTTTGCTATCCAACCTAACCCGCGTATCGACGCTCGTCAGACTGGCCGGGTTAGGATTGCTCACCACGCAGTCGAGAGTTCCACCCCCTCTCGATGTTTGACTAATGTACATGTGTACAGAGTCTTTGCAGTTAATGTTGTACACACAGTTCGTTGTCAAACATCGAGAGAGCTACGGACACGGAACCCAGACCATAAAATGCGCATTTTGCGACCGCAGGCATGAGCTTGAATACAGAGCTCTGTTGAGACTCTGTCGTAACTGTACATGCGCTAAACAACGGGCGTCAGATCGATTGGGATAATGTTGAGTTCATTAGGAAGGGCTTGCGGGCGAAGCCCCTGAGTTTATTTGCCGAGGCGATCGAAATCGCTAGGGCTGATAGCTGTGTGAAAAGAATGGAGGAGGTGGCTCTCGACTGCGTGGGGAGTAATCCTAACCCGGCTAGTCTGACAAGGGTGGATACGCGGGTCAGGTTGGATAGCAAAAAGGTGACATCATCGTCGTCTTCACCAAGGTGTTAACTGACAACATGGCGGATAGTGAAAGCCCGACAATAGCCCCATTCTGACTGATCAATTGAGATGACTGTGTCTGTAAGTCTCTTGGCTCATACTTCAGTTGTCACGGTTATCTCCTTCACCTGCTATAAAATGCCACACCAACTAGGTACCAATTCACCTGGGCTGCCAAAGCTTTTGTATCAAAAGCGAAACGTTGCCAACCAAATAAACCAATCGAATGTTCACAAATCTCTATGAAACCTACTGATCGGTTAGCATGGAATTTTGGTCTTCGGAACCAGCTGTGAGTTGACAGGTTTGATAATCAGATATCAAGCAGAACCAGGATAAAGTATGCATCTCAGCGGGAAAACCTGGCCGCACACTCGCCTAGTTACATACAAATACATGAGCAGATATCGTGAAGAAACTGACGTGAGAAAAGAAAGTGAAAACTGAATTGCAATATGCAAAAGGATGCTATGTGATTAACTGGATCAACAAGGATGCAATAAATAGACACAAGTGTTGAAAACGTGGACCGTAGCCACATCCATTTATTTAGAGGACCGGCATATGGGTCACAGAGTCACTTGGAAAATGAACGCTCAATGAATGAGGCAACTACTTACCTGGCAATCTAGCATAGACAACTCCGGCCTGGGTAGGGCTGACGGACTTCTGGAGAGACGCGCGCAAGTTAGATGACACCAACGGTGCTATCGCGGGTCCAACTTGAGCCGAAGACAATGGCTGAAAGGATAAATGTTGCAGTTCCAGCTGGTTTGTAAGGACGAATTGGGTAGGACAATCGGTGGAGGGTAATGACACCTTCTTATCCGGCTGTGGGCTGCTCACGGGACTGTTTGAAGCTGCTGGGGACCCGGCTGATACAGAACTATTCATAGTGTAACTGCCAGAACTGGCAGTACCACCCATGGCTGAAAGCAAATGTGACGCGCGAGGGAGTGTATTAGGTAGTGCGGCTTCATTAGCCAAAGAGCCTCTACGCACCTGCCGTAGCGTCTTTCTGGAAGAGTGTTCGGTTTGCTGCTGCAATATTGGGGCAGCGATAGCGAAGGGACGAGTAGAAGGGCAAGATAGACAGCTATCTGTTAAGTGCGTCCGTTGAGCAGGATCAGTCTGAGGCCGCGCTTGAGAACGGTAGCTGGTAGCAGGTCCGTAGTCAGAATGTGCCTCCGCATTCGATCGAGGTCCAGATGCAGAACTCACCTGAGTGGCCATCAGTTCCCGAAGTAGAGTGCCTGGCACAGGCGCGGTTAAAACACGGTTGACAGATGGCGACCTGAGGACGGTAATATAGACAAAGGTGATTGGGCAGTGATGTTGAATTGTCCCATCGTTGCGAGTCTGCAACTCCCAACATTTATAGGCACCAGACACGGTCCCCGTGACGGAGGTAACTGGTTCACTTCAAAATGAACTGCGTTTCACACTGAGATTGTATGTCGCAATCCCTTCATACAACGAGTGCCACAAAATAACCACCCCAACGGCCTATTTCACTTATACGCTCTCTAACTGATAAGGGTGAAAAAACCGCACGTATTTGCCTCATTGGTGGAGCGAATGAACTGTGGACACGTTCGTGTCAATGAGACACGATTTCCAACATGCGGTTTTGATAACTGCCCAAGGAACGGGATCTGGAAGAGCTCCATATATGAAAATCCAGATTGACTTAATGTTTATCGATTCCTACGCGCTTGATTTGCGATGGAGCCCAAAAACGCCCATGGCACTTATGCGCCAGTAAAAATTCAGAGACCATAACCCTTTAACTGAAACAAAAGGACTATGGTGTATTATGGGTTAAAAAATAAGTGCTCAACAAGTCCAGTATGATGGCCAGAATGAGAATCATCAATGGGGAAAGGAAACATAGTGATAAAATGAAAACCATTTTGTTGAAATCCCCACAGTGCTCATACAGAGGAATGCCGAAAAGAGACAACCTCAGTTGTGTGTGTTAGTGTTAGTTGTGCAACGTTCGTCACATTATATCGTCTGCTGATGAACACAGGCTCTATCTCGTAAGGTAGGTGGGTTAGGGTAACGTCAGGGTATTCTTTAAACAGCTAAAGTAGGAATATAAACAATGGAATTTAAGATGGCGTTCCATGTCTGGCACCCACGAAGAGAGTAAATGTTTCGACGGCATTCTAGTCGACGGTGTTGCGTGGACAACTTGAACTGGTGGACCTTCAAATTCGTGTCGTCGATGCATTGCAGCAGGTGGTTGCAGACCTCGTGGGGGTTCTTCAAATTATGGAAAGCCATTATCAGGTCGCCACGTAGGCACCGATATTAACCGCTGTAAAATCTTAGGGTTCGCAGTGCAAATTAATATGAAACGTGGAAGAACTCTTTGACGTTTGTAAGTAGTAGGGGATTTATTTAGGTTTGTGTAAATTTGTCGCAGTTAGACACAGGCGGACAGTCACCACACATCCAGGAAAGCGCTGGACGGCCCTTTCGTCCTATTGGGACTTGCCAGTAGCGCGCACCCGCCGAATCCTGCCGGATTCGAACCCATGACCTTACTCTTGCGAATCAGCGACTTATGTCACCGAGCCATGGGCGAGGGCAGCGGACCGCCATGACAGATATCTAACTGCGATATAGCACGACTCATCCTCTACTGCCTTGCATGTCATGAATGTGCAGAAGACAGGGCTGTCCCCCAGAGCAACGACTTCCTTTGCAATGGGTAACCAAGGCATAGTGAACACAAAAATCATCAGGGTTAATATTTGCAATGGTGCGAAGTTCCCGATGTTCGTCGAGGAACTTGTGCAGCGTATACACTGCAGAGTATAGATGATGGTGCAAAGCTGATCATGGACAATGCCAAAGTCCATGTGCCGTATGCTCTAAGGAGAATCTTGGACTCATCCTAGCAGCTGAAGGTCCTCTCGCCCTACTCGTACATGCTAAACCCGGTAGAACATTTGTTTTCGAAGTTGAAAGCGTCGGCGAGACGCCTGCTGGCCAATCCGACGCCTGATCAGACGCTAAGTGAGGTTATTAATGAGACTGTTGTAATGGTAATCCAGCAGGACTGCGCGAACTGTGTCCTCAATATAATGCTGCCTGACAAACTCAGCAGCTGGACACCCTACATTAAGTGAACGTGTTTAACCTTAATGCTCTCTTTCTTGTCATTTTCCTTTTAAAGTAGGTATTTTTCAAACGAAACTGCCGAAGTCAGCATGAAAGAATATGGCTTGTTCAGAGATGCCCATATTGTATGCCCGCCAGGTTGCAATGGTCGGGGCACCGTTGACGCGGTTTTGCTCGTAGTGAGCATGTTGAGCACAATTCGTAGCCTGCTCTTAGCGCTGAAGAGAGTAGATGAGAATGGATGGATCCCGCCGTCCATCAGCCGCCGTTGTAGCTAAACCAAAGTGCCCTCGGCATGTTGTTCAGCCGTTTCGTCCACGCGCTGCAGGATATCCAATTTCAGCTTCTCACTGTTGTTTCGCCGAGTATTCGTGTATTCCTTCCTGTAGACGATGATGACGTTCCTTGTCGTGCGCTTGTTGAGATTCGCGATTTCAGCAGCTTCGTGGGTGGTTTTGTCGTCGACGAACACAAGCTTAGTGAGGATTTTTCTTTGTGCCAGTTATGTTCGCTTGTACCGTCTGGGCTTTGGAGATGTGTTCTTGTGCAGATCGTCGCTCATTTTGTTTGTTTTGTGCAGCATAAGGCTAACAAAGTTAAGCTGTGTTTGGTGGAGTCATGATATCCGGCACTGATTCAATAATCGAGCAGCTGAATAGGTTCGCCCACACACCAACAGGAAATACGCGGATGTCCATAGGGTAACAGGGCAGAATGCGTCACCCGCTTCGATGGAGGTGGACGACGTCAGTGATCAAGAGGAAGGCTTGCACCACTGCGCAATATTTGCACAGCCCCGTTGCATGCGCATGACCAACACTTGGCGGGACCATCGTCCAGTCGCCTTACTCCCTTAATATTGATAACAAACTGTAACTTTAGGCCAGAAAAATTAGGCTGGTTTTGTCTATTCATCATAGCCCGCACTGTTTCAATATTCGAGCAGCTGAATAGGTTCACCCACACACCCACATAAAATACGCGAAAGCCTACAGGGTGACACAGGACAACTGGGTCGCTGGCTTCGCCCGATGTGTACAACGCCAATGATCGAGAGAGGGTTTGCACAATCGCCCACTGTTTACACAGTCTCGTTGTATTCGCGCGAGCACAATGTGATCAGAATATCATCCAGTCGTTTTAATCCCCTTTATTTGGTAACGAGTTGCAGCAGTAGACCAATAAAGCTATGCTGTGTTTAGTGCAGTCATGACAGCCTGCACTGATCCAATAACCGAGCAGCTGAATAGGTTGGCCTACACAAATATGCGAAGGCCTATAGAGGGACAGAGGACAACTGGATCGCCGCCTATCTGCTTCAACAGTTACGGTCCAAGTGATCGGATTGGTCAAAGTTTAATTCCGTGGGGATCGTGCATCGTAATCCATTCCCAAAACGAGTGCTTCACAACGACGCTCTAATGCTAGATACCATTTGTCTAAGTCAAGATAAACTACGCGCTTGGGAAGTTTGACTTACTAATAGTCACACAGCTACACAGGTCCATGGGTAAAGTTAGGGACATATAAACTACGAGGAGACAGATGGGGAGATGGGGGTACCCAGTCACCGCCATTGATCGAGGCGATCGAGGTTCACGATCAAGAACAGGCTTTGTAGTGACGCCCGCTGGTTACACACTTCGGTCGCATTCGCATGCATACAATGTAGCCTGAACATCGTCTAGTCGCCTTATTCCTCATATCTTGCAAGCGAATTGTTGATTTTCTGCTTAAAATCCAATGTATCCAAAGTGGCGTGCAAAACGTTCTAAGTGGCTTGCAAAATTTCAAATGTGATTTGCAAAACTTCCAATTCAAAGTAAAAATGGTATAAACGCTGGTATATCGCGTACCATCCCCAACGTATTGTGTTTAGACAAAAAGTTTTCGTCCAGTGAAATGAATTATGAAGAAAGGGGTTTCAATGAAACTCCTTTTCCGTTTGGAATGGTTGCAAATCATGTTTTAGTTCAGCATTACGGGACCGCTGTTGGTCGATCGACCGATTAAGCACAATGCACTCTTCTCACTTTTCTACCCAGTTGTAAATGTAGCATATTTGTTAGTAGCCATTTGGTGAGTTTGCACTTAATAGTGCAAAATTGTGAAATTGCACCCATTTATACTGACTAGGCTAGACTATGGGGCAGTGTATGGCATACCGGTAGCCAATAAGGAGACTGTCATGCGTCAGATCGCCGGAATTAGCACACAAGGCAGCTGACTAGCAATTATACATGAGGGATTAGAGTTGTGGCATTTCAACGTCGTTTTTGCATCCTTTGTGATTAATGGTTTAATGAAGCGTGACTTATAAGGGTAAAATAGAGGGCAGATGTCGGTGTTATACATCTCCTGCCAACATTTCGCTTCGGTTCCGAGCGGCAATGCTAAAGAGACCGCATGGGTAGAGTATTAACGCATAGTAATTTGGTGAACAATATCTAAATGTGGTAATTAATGGCCGCATTTCGTCAGCAGACTTCGTGAGAAAAGCAGTTGGATTGAATTGGTAGTACTGCCGCTCAAGCACGCGATTGCCGGTTAACAAACATCTCGGTAAGTCTGATAGCAATATACCGTGATATGATTATAAAACGCTTTTCCAACTCGAATTCAATACGCCATGCACTCCAAACCAGTTCCAGCATGAGATCTTGACAGGGGAAATCTCAGTACGCCATGCAACGTACCTTTCAAAGTGAGACAGTTTCACATAATTGTCACGCACGTAATCCAATAATTGCTTCTGCGTCCGGCCGGTGTATCTGTGCAAAATGAGGGGGTAGAGACTGCATGTAAGGAAACCAGTTGGGGTTGATGTATCCGACAATCATCTTGTGTTTGGCCCTAAACGAAAAGCTGGTTGCAAACGATCGATGGACTATATCATCACGTGCTGACGTTGCTCGGTAGAAGCATCAGCGCATTGCTTACTCTGTAATTCACATATATTAGGGAAAGTAGACGAAACATTCAAACGTGAAATTAATCACCATCATCACAGTGTCAGTCTTCGACACCTGATTGAACGCCGAAGTAGAGCTTATAGGCACAGATGCAGAGAGGTATGCAGCGTAAAATTAATTGAGTCGCGCATGAAACTCATGTGAAGACTGAGCAGACGAACAATGAACCGAATGTATATGCGGTTAAGAAGCGTTGCTTTGCAAGTCCCGTTGGATAGTTGATGGGGATATCGAAATAATAATGATAATAATAAAACAGTACTTTACTCATGAGAAAAGGACTCATCGTTTGCTCCGCTGTAGTACTGAATTCCGTCTAGGTTCACAGTACCCACAGTTAACAATATTTAAATCCAAGATAGACTCCAGGAGTAGCGCTAAGTTACAAAATGTAAGTGTATGAGCGCGTCATCCAAAGGTCTTTTAAATATTGTTAGTGTCGGTGTAGAAACGACCGATTCTGGGAGAGCATTTCACGGGTGACAGACACGCATGGAAAAGAAATTCCTGCGGGACACCAGACGGGTATACTGCTCTACGAGTTTCAATGAGTGACCCCTCAGTTTTGTAGTACTGCTGAGTTGCAGTAAGGAGCGGCACACATGATGTGGCTCGTTCAGTATCAAGTACGCCATAATCAGGTTGCCTCGTAATCTGCGATACGGTCTACTGAATACCCCCAATCGTTTCAGCCTCTGCTGGTATGAAAGACTGCGCATTCCAAGTACGTTCTTGGGTGCCCGATGCTGAGGCTGCTCCAGTGCACTGAGGTTGTGTTTCAGCCGTGGATGCCAGGTCTGGATTGAATATTCGACATGGGGGCGATAATACGTTCTGAGCATTTGTCGGAAAATAGAGCTGACTATTTGTCCGAACGCCCGTCGCAACAGCCTGACGTGTTGCTTTCCAGTCTTTGAGGCCTTTTCGGACTACCTGGAGCAACCCAAGTCATCTTGAACCAGCACACCCAAGTCACGTTCGACAGTTGATTGTTGCGGTACATTCCTTCCGAATCGGTATGAGTAGTTCCTTTGATATACATTGCATTTAGATAGAATAAACTAGAGCACATGGTACTAGACGTGCTGCACCGAGCGATTGCATTAAGCCATGATATCCGAGTGCTGTAAAATCAACAGACACACTACACTAGATAATCCAGGTAACCTGGCCCCTGCCCCACGTCGCTGTCGTGGGGTGCGTGTCCCTCACTACGTGTAAGGACACACAGAAAAAAGCACCACATGCAAAAACGAACGAGTTGCTTTTAGAAGCTATGCAAATTATTTATCGGTTTCACTAGTACCATCAAATAGTATTACCACATCGTAAAAGCGTAAACAAGCCAACGGCGGGATGAACCGTCGCGTGCAACACAAATGAGTAGAACGAAGGGGGTGAAATGGCTTTTACTTAGCCTCTATTTAACCAAAATTCTAATTGAGCGCAGAACCCACCGGAAGGAAGAGCCTTTCGTGAGCATTAGGCCACGACGCTGGTTGGTTTGTCGAACGGCTTGACAGCGGAAAAATGCATGGTGCTCGATACACTGCTTCCAAAAACTTTTGCATTCATCCCGTGAGTCGAACAAGAACTCGACTGTTTGCTGTGTGGCAAATGAGAGGATACAAAATGCAGATGGGATAGTTGCGATAAGGTACGAAGAAATGTACAAGGTAAATGCGCAACGAACGGTTTCCGGAAGACGAAACACAAATTGTGGCCATTAATTTGGCTCGGTACTGACACTGTCGCATAACGCTTCGTGTGAATCACGTCACCACTGATCTTTTGGCATCTTGATGCTGAATAAATCCCAATATAAGAAGCTCTCTACCGGACACAGGATACCAGATTTTTTGACGCAACCAACGTGAGCAGACACAGATATTTAATAGCACTTTCAGCGCAGTCTTTGGGTCCACATCTTGATTAGTTGTCACGAGGTGCTTGGTAATAGATGATGACGAAATCCGGTTCATTCTGGGGGCACTCCGGTTTGTTGCATCATCATTTGTTCCACCCACTTTGGCAGGTGTTAAGCCACCCTCTGAACAAACCGACGGTTAGTCCTGCCTATGTAAACGCCATCGCAACTGCAGGTGAACTGCTAAATTTGTAGTCCGGAAACGCTGGAAGCTGAAGAGAAGTTTCTGCATAGGACATCTTAGTGGTATCCTGAAAATTTCATCCAAGTGCACATCAGACTAACCGGTGTTAACGGCAGAGAAAAAAGCTGTTTATCTGTTTCTGCCCTTCTACGGAGACCAAGTGGCATATGACTTCGGAGACAAGCTCAGGTACGCCCTAACGTGCACGTACATGACTGCCTAGTTGCGCCTCATGCAAACTTCTCGGAAACTTGTTCTTCATGAGCGTCAGAGCTACTCTTTGGCTACTTCGGCCTCTCATGTGGTTTATCAGTTCACATGAAGTTGCGATGACGTTTACATAGGCAGGACTAACCGTCGATTGGCTCAGAGGGTGGCTGAACACGTGCCCAAGTGGGTGGGACAATTGATGACGCAACAAACCGGAGCGGCCCAAAGAATGAACAGATGTTTAAGTCACCTCGTTCCTAAGACGAAATAACCAGTACGAACGATTAATTCAGTGTCAGATAGCTTGCGTGAGCAGCGTGCCTGCTTTTGTCTCCAGGTGCACTTCATGCGAATGTTAGTCGTCTACTGATGTGCACTGACCTATGTCAAGTGGTCATTACCCCAGTTAAATATGAGACGGACCGCCAGGTAAGCAGGTTTGTGTGCATCAGTTTAACACCGCAACTGCGCGTGTCCGAGTCAATGTCCGTAGTTCCACGTGGGCCCCAAGACAAAACCGATCGGTTATGTTCGTTCGCCGTTTCGAGTTTGACTGACGAAAGTCACGTAGTGTCGCTGTGGCTTTCAAAATGCAAAAAATAAATGCGATGCGCAATGAGAACTTCAAACGGCCACAGTGTGTTCCCGGAACGAGATAGCTTGTTAACCGGTGTTTGAGGAGATGAATTTTCCCATTGTTGTTGGTAAAATGAGTGAAATATTTCACGTGCAGAAGTTCCAACTAGCAAACCGTGCAAAATTAGACAAACAGCTGTCACAGAGTAGGACAACGTGCTATGACGGTGGTGCGGACGATGGACAAGTTCAGATGTCCAAAATGATGGTTCATTCGTCTCGGTGCGGCATGATTTGAGTAGGAAAGCAAAGGTGCGCAGGCCTCCGCTAACCGAGTGGTTATTGGATGTCACCTAACAAGCAGCATATTCAACATTCCTGGGATGAAGTGCGTGGCCAGATTTTCAAGGTAGAACACTCCTTAGTGTGAAAGTTTCGTTTTTGTTTTCAATGCCAAATAAAAACTTCCCTCATATTTAAACGGTAAACGTACTCCGTTTATGTTAAATCACACAGTATAACTCACTAAACGTTCCGAATGCAACTTCAAGATAAAACGTTTGCGCTTGAAACTCAGCTTCCTGATTCGAGCCCAAGAGAATGTATTGACCTTGGACTGACGCTGGTAGACCAGAATACCAGCATGTGTGACGGACAGATGAACATTGTTACCGGTGCTGTCCTGTAGGGGGAAATTCCAAGGGGAATGAGATTAATTTCAAAATGCCAACATTTCCAATGCAATCCGAAAAGGTAGATAGGAAAGCGGAATCATTTCACTGTATGTTCTGTGGAGCATCAATAAGCAACCAGATAGACATCGCAAGCCCGCAGGTATCAAACGGTGCGTCAACGTGCAAAATACAGTACGTAAGCATGTTAAATTACCTGGACGTCCTCTTGATGAGAAGAGCAATGTATAGAAAAGAATTTGGTCAGTTGCAATCCATCGAACAGTATTGTGCTCTACCCCCACTTTGTATATTCGGTACCCAGTGCCTGAACGCCACCGATGCCCAAACTCATATTAGTGTAAGCGTAAATCCTGGTTGACATTGGTAATTTCGATGTTGCCAATACGAAGCAATATAGTCAAATGAATCCCAAAAAATTAACATCACGTACTCATTTGTAGTGTATACTTACTGCGGGTGAAGTAAGGAGATGGTTTCGATGAAGAAGCCTCTTATCCCGTAACTTAACTAATGCGATGCATAAATATCCAAAACGCTGGATACGTGTTTACCGTAGGTTACCTTAGAGGCAAGTAGACGGTGAAATCATTCCAATGAAACTATTGCTGCGCTCAGAGAGACTCCGATGGCTAACCAGCAAGTTGAACTCTCAGGTGTCCTCCGTGATACGGTCCGTGTTAGGGGGCAATCGGTTAATCATATTGAGTGTTTTTAACACGCACGTCGGTCGTGATGTCACCGTGTGGGCAGACGTAGTCAGGCTGAATGGTGATCGGTTGCTCGCAGTGTGTGCTAATCATAGCATGAAGGTCCCAAATACACAGTTCCAAATGGGTGCCAGTGATACTGCAACGTGGATGCACCACGAAGTGGTCACACTCCCCTGCTTAACTATCTTGCCGTGACATGCGTGGAACATGCATGACGAGTGTACTGCACGGAGCCGAGCGTGAAAAAGACCACGTCGGTGAGCAGCAAATAACAGATTTATTTTCGTAAACCCATGCACTGTTCTTTTGCCGTGAACCGGTGGAAACTTGGTGCTTGTTCTCTAGGTACTGTTGAGCAAAAGCGTAAGCTTGGAAACGCAACGGCAACCCATCTTGGTGACGTCGACTCCATCGCTCCAGGCAGCACTTGAGCCACTGCTGTAACCACGGCAACACTAACATCTCCAATTGACCGAGAAAAACCGAACCCCTCAAACGACCGATCCACTTATGCATCAGTTGATGCCCGTTGTACTCAAGATGCGACTCCAGTAACATTAGCGACTAAGGCACAATATTTGTGAAGAATCAGGTGCAAACTGCAGAGGTTACCAAGGCCACCGATAGCGTCACAGAAGACCTGTTGGAACTACGGTGCTCTAACGCTCATATGCACCGACGTTCCGGAGTATAAAGTAAACGCTTTGAGCGGACAACCTGAACGAATAGAATTTCGCCTGTGATCGGATCGATGCTCGTGCCGAACTGACTAACACGCCCTGTTAGACATCAAAATCGATGCACTACGTTTGGTCCCGGCTTATGCGGGTAATATCAAGATTCATAGATGATACAAAGGCAGTGCTTCTATCGACGTAGAGCGTCCATAGTGTACACAGTGGAATACGTATTTTGTTCAGACTTTGTATGGAGCGAAAAAATTATTCAAACAGCCGCGATACTTGCAATAGCAGGAAAACCACTTTCGTTCATGGCCCACTCGAGAGGCTAGCAGCGTGAGAAGAGGGGACGCACACTCATGGCCTGGAAGAATGGCGGTACATCTGCCAAACTCTATCTGCTGGTCAGGTCACACTTTAATCAATTTCAAGGTTACCCATGTCGCTCTACACCTCAAAATCACTGACTCGGAGATGCTAAAAATCGTGGTTCAGTTCTAAGAGATGGTGGCGAAATTAATGCATAGCTGGGACAACGTGTGCAACATACCACCATCGGAAACAAGATTAGAGGCAGCAATTAGAGAACGGCAGCCATGAAATTTCATCGAGGAAACAACACCACACTGGACTCAGTGTAACCACAAAAGCGAATCAGCAAACCATATGCTCAGATCAGTAGCCGTTGAAAATGCAACTATTGGACTGCATAATGCATGTATAGGTGAGACCAAAATCGGATTGCAATCGTATCGAGAAATGGTGTTACTTTGTTCATTGGCAAACCACTTAAAAATATAATTAGTGTCTGTCTCTCATCAGTCGGCATAAATTCACTCCCTACAGGCACTCCTTGTCAAGCGCTGGAAACGCTGGCAACAGTGCCGATGGAGCGTATCCGTGGGCAGCTTGCATCTGGTGCTGTAGAACATGCGGTCGTGTGTGACTCAGCCGAGCCGATCTGAATAGTCAGCAATGTGACCACGAGGGGGGTCAATATGGAAGAGACAACGGGCAAATGAAATGGGCAATTGTCAATGCAGCAAAGGTTCGGTGCTTCCAGTTCCAGTTACTAACCGAGACCAATAATGCGGTAGCAGTGGCATGTATGCTACATCATCGCTACTGTTGGACTGTAACTGCACCTGGGAGCTTGTGTTGTCACCTGTCTGACAACATTTGTCGATTGATATCCCAAGTCTGACTGCAGTGGATGTGAAGGTTGATAAGGTGTCTACCTGTCGTAAACCGCAACCTCGATTATTGGTTCCAGAACACCGCTAAGTTTAATGTATTCGTCCCAGCAGCCTCTTCTAGTTTCAAATGATATGGACACAGCGTCTAGTGAAAGTTATGACCTCGGATGCTGGTCACTGTTATGTGCAAATATAGTAATCTGCGTGGCAGTGGAAGATAGGTCGTGCTATATTCCAGTTAGCTTGCAAATTATGTAGCCCAGCCGCCATCCCCCATTACTCAGTGGCTTAAGCTACTGGCTAGTTGGCGTCAGCCTCTAGCGGTCAGGGTTTCGATCCCCAGTAGGGCAACGACGGAATGCGCACCAGTGATGAACAAAAATAGGGCAATATGCGTCTGGTGCTTTTCCAGATTGTGGTTGGGTAATGTAGCTTGTGAGCTACTGGGACGAATATATTAAAACTGCGGCTAAAATCCTTCTACTCATAAGTAAAACCGCTAAGCGTTCCTAGGGAGACGGGGTGCAAGTCATCGCGTCTGCGCTAAGCTCAAAGAGTGGTTCATCCAGTGTGGAACGAGCTACGGCCCGAGCACCGCTTGTATATGTCTGGTATGCATGTTTCCCCCTATTCAAATGAATGACGTGCATGTTGAAGTAGTATAGACAAACTCCGAATCAATGGCAACTCCAATCTACATGCCTTGTGGTTTACACTGGATGCGTCGTGCATGGATGGAGCTGCAAGAGGTGTAGCGCAACCTACCCTTGGTCCCTCAGTAGTCACAGGCGTTCAGCGGCTGCTCGCGGGCACAATGATGGGCACATCCGGAAACGGATGCTGCCTTGTTGGAAAGTAAGTCTATGTGGATTTGGCACCGAGGTGCCTCGACATCCTGCACCAGATACACAGCTCATATACCAATGCTTACAGCGCACAACAGAACGGTAGCAGTGTGGTGAAAACAAACGTTTAAACCCTATTCTTGGGCCATGACGGATAATCGATACCTATCACTAATCTTTTTGTTGTAGTGTGTGTGCTTTACTCCCGACTTCACCATCTGGTCTTACGACGGACGCCGAGTTTCTCCTGATCGCTATTCCCGCCTACTGCAAAAACGCTTTCTCCTTGCTCTTCAGCAGGATGTAACACGAGTGCAAAAGCCCTCACTTTCTCCTACTACAGTTATTGCAGAAGTCCCCATAATTTGCTTGAGTGAAAATAACCGGGCAGTGATAAAAGTTACGTGACATAGAAGCCATTCAGAATCACTTAGAAAATGGCAAATGTACCGATGCCTAGTAAGTAAGCAACTATCCAGTGGAGTCAACATGAATTGAACCTTCATTTGTATTAGCCATCGAGTGATCGGTTTGGCGAATGATTGACGTGAACAAATCTACCCAACCCATCCACGAAACGAGTGGTTCACAGTAGACTTGTGTTTTGAATCCTTCAACAGCCGATTGCTCTTTATTCACACCGAAGAAGTAACGGAATGGCTGAGCAGTTTAAAGAGTGTGAATAGTGTAGAAATCAGCAGAAACAATGAGATTGCAACATGCTAGGCCATCTACAGCCGATGTACACCGCGTAGTGACGTGGATAAATCACAGAGGCTAAGGGATAAACATGACAAAGCTCTTAGTGAAGTGACCCACTCTAGCGGGATGCATACGTGTGCCATAGAGTTCTACTTTCCGAACAGTGTCCAGAAGGTTGTAGTCCGCATCTGCCGGAGATTGACCTCTGAAAATGATCGAGAGAAGTGATTAGAGACGTGCATTTGTACGTATTGGAGATCGCATGGCCCAAGTGAAGCAGTATCGGATAAGAACCCATGGGACATACTGAAGTTTATTAATCGAGTGAAAGGCGATGAAATTTAAATGTCTTAGCGTTTTTGAATCGCTAACTACCAATGCCGTTTAGTTAGAACGCTAGAAGCACTACGCAGTGTAAAGTATAGAGAGGACATACTTGTAAGAAGTTCCTGTGATGGCACTTGCCTACAGGAGGCCACTTAGGTCTACCGGCCAGTAACTACGTTCCACAGCAATTAGGCAACAGTGGTCCAGCAGGCTGAGAACAAACACATGAACTTTGAGCCCAAAAGTGCGAGGTATCCCTAATGCTTGTGCCGATATAGGTGAGTAAGCAAATCACATTTGTCATCAGCGGTTTAAGGCTAGGATCCGAATATTATAGTGTGTGGTAATGTGAGATCATTCCCATTGTGCATCAGTGTAATTGTTCCTGTTGCTTTGACATCCGAGACAGTAGAGAACTTGCTTGTAAGTTGCGCTCTTGAATGAGCATGAATGTCTGAAAGACATGGCGTGAAGCTGTGCCTGTGGAGCTTACCTGGTGTTCCAACCATGATAAAAAGACAAATTGTGACAAACATAGTGACTTTAAAGATAACGAGAACAGTGTTTCGTGAAAACATAAGCAACCTTGGTGTCACAAGTGCGATGTCACAAAGCAAAGTATACGTCTGAGTCTACTGAGAAAGTTATTTTCAGTTTGGTCCGGACAGCATACCAAGGCAACATTCCCTTCTGTACAATCTGAAGTGGTGACCTACCTAGCAGATTTCGTGCGAGAAAAAGTGAATGAGAGCAGCAGAAACTGCAACCTTGGAGGTAACAGTAAACTAAGTATTTGCCCTTGTCGTTCCCTACACGTACTCTTGAATTTGGCGGAATACTCTTGGAGCAACTCCACTTTGTATAGAAGCGTGACAAATTACTTCACTGAAATAACCAAGTGTTCGAATAATGTAAGTGGGTTCAAACAAATGGAATAGACCGCACGCACATAACACAGGTAGCTAATGCGCGGTTAATGTAGAGAGACAAAATGAGAACCCAACACAGAGGATAGTGGATTTCAAGGTGCCACATGGTACTGCCAATTGTCATTCTACATGGAACCCTAAATGTGTGAGGTATGCGCGAACTGGAGTGCTAACCAAGCTACCCTTTATAAATATGACATGATGGGACGTCTTGAAGAGCTACGTTTCTATACATTTCTTTCTGCTCAGGGGGGTCACGTTGCTGTGAGGAGAATCACGGTAGCGCGCGAGCGAAACCAGTACTCTCTCAGAATTGTTAAAGCGCGTGATGTGACATAGACGTGCTCAGTCGCTCTCTGCTGAGACGTACCAGTTTAACTGCATTGTATCGTCTGTTCGACCAATGCGTGTGCATTCTCCCTAGCAGAGAGGTGCCTAGTTTCCAGCTTTTGGGATCACATGGTGTCTAAGCGCTGACCATTGGCTAGCTTAACCATTTTAAGCTGGCTATCAAAGTATGACTTCTTGGGTAAATGAAACCCGGTACTTAGTGCTCATCTGGCGTATGTTTATCAATATCTGCAGAAATACAAAACAGAAAGGTTAACTTACAAGACACTCCGATGACACATGGCCACTTTCTTGAGAAAATTCGTAGTGGTTGTGGGAAGCAGTTGGAAACTGGATAAATAGGAATGGTTCAAGTAGATATCTTCCAAAAAATCACCGATATGGCCTACCGGAATAAATGGAAATACAGATTAAAACGACGAGAAGCCAATGTACACTCTCGACATCATGATCACAGCGGGAAACAGAAATTGCCCATCAGTTAAATGTTAACGAATGAGATGTAGAAACCATGCGCCAAAAGCCAACGATTCATATGAACTCGTCTTTCGGTTGTGTTACCAGCTAGTGCTAAGAACAACAACAGCAGCAGCAACAACAATAAGAACAACTGGAGTAGCAGCAGTAGTAAATAAAATGAGGAACGGATAGTCCCGTTTCCCCATTGAAAACATCTGGGAGATCGAACGCGAAAAGTGAATTAATTTCTTTCCGTTTGCAAAGCGACCTTGGCACCTCTTACAGACAGGCTGAAAACAAGCTCAACCAATCGGTAGGTGTACTAACTTGCTGTTAGACGTGATCAGCCGTGATCAATCAAAATGGAGGAACAGAAGACCAAGGTCTTAGAGCAAGATGGACGAGAATGACAGTCAACTACTTGCAAAATTATTTAACAAACTAAGGCGATAACCCGCATCTGCATCGTGTTCGACTATCCTATATCTGCAAGTATATGCCATGAGGAAGAACAGAGAAAGTCGGGCATCAGAATACCTCCCACATCAGACTGAGAAAAATACCTTAAATTGGCCATTCTAGTAAGAAGGGAAGAAGGTAGAGGTGGTTATCAGTACAGGTAAACCGTAAGTTGATCACTTAAGGTATTGGACCAAAGTGGTCAAAATATGAAGGTACCGTCGTGAGTAGTATAGTAAGAAAGTTAGCTTCACGTACAGCTTTCGAATATAGTAGATAAACTTTCACATAACGGCAAAACACAGTTCAATCATAGTGTTATAATAAACAAAAACAGCGTGGTTTCCTAAAACCTGAATCATTTTTTGACGAAAAAGTTTATGTTTGTTTCTTCCCCTTGTCACCAATGTAACTGAAAAAGCGCTCTCAACACTAGCTACATTACTCAGCATACTTGGACATATTCCCATAGAAAATGACTTCAGCTGCATTAAAAGATGCCTGACATCATATTGTTTTTGAGTTTCTATGGTCCCCAGGTCGGCTTTATTTAGTTTTGCCTCATCAGCAGGTGTTGCTTGACTGCGCTCAAAGGGGTGTATGGCAGTCAGTATCGCTGAAAATAGCAATGAACAATGGACAATGATTTGTCATAGGATACAAGCAAGTGCTTGACACATCCCGTAGGATGGTTGGGGTGAATATGAAGAAATCAAAATATATCTGGGTCATCTACCAAACGTCTGCCTAGATGAATACTTTGATAATCAACTTCCGTGTAAAATTAAAAAATTATCGAGCGTAAACGTTCAGAAAGACATTGGGGTGCAGTGATTGTCGATGTAAGGCGTGAGAAGAGTAAAACATTGTCGCTCACTTGGGTGCATTTGATACATAAATCCTGTTGAAAAGCATGCTTGGCGTAATCCACAATAGAGGAGTTTAGGTAACAAAATGTTGGGAGCTAAGAGCAACATCTAATCGTTTTTTTTTGCAAACGTCCAAGGTAGGAGAGGATACAACTGAGTCTGGGAGTGCGTTCCATGGTTTGCAAACCCGAAGGGAAAAGTATTTCCGTCGACACTCTAGACGGCTATATTGTTCCTTCAATTTTAAGCAGTTACCCCTGAGCTGTGTGTTGTGGCTAAGTTTCAGCAAATGGCGACATACGTGGTTGGGGTCACTCAATATCTGATACACTAATATGAGATCACCGCGCAGCCTTCGATAACGTCCGCTGAAAATTCCCAGCAACTTCAGCCTTCGGTGGTAAGAGTGATAGCGCAGGCCCTTTACATTTTTTCTTTCCCTTTGTTGTGGAGCCTCTAACGCCTTTAGGTCGCGCTTCAACCAAGGTTGCCAAGCTTGGATAGCGTATTCAACATGCGGGCGCACGTAGGAATTGAGCATCATTGGGAAGATTCATGGATCAAATCTCCCGAATGCCCTTCGCAGAATGCCAACGTGCTGGTTGCCACTTTTCGTAGCTACCTCAGCCTGTTTTGAACAGTTGAGGTCGCTCTGTACGAGCACACCAAGGTCACATTCCTGGGAGCTTTTCTGCAATTAGTTTGACCCAAGTAAATAGGTGTAGTTATGTCTACGGCGTAATTGTACTACGCGACATTTGTCTATGTTGAATGGTAGGGCGTTTTGAACTGAGCAGTTCGATACCGTGTTAAGATCGCACTGGAGCCGTTCGTGGTCTTCCGGTCCTCTGATCCTTCGCCATATCTTGATATCATCAGCGAAAAATAGGAAATCGGAAGTAATTGATCTCGCCAAATCGTTAATGAACACCAAGAATAGACGAAATCCAAGCACAGAACCTTGTGGTACTCCATACGCCACATCGATTGCATCAATGATTCTCGGACTCCCACAACTGGCCGTCGTTCTTGTAGAAAATTGCCAGTCCAACTCAGGATTGGGTCGCCAATGCCGTAATTCCAGAACTTCTGAAGGAGAATTCGATGGTCCAAGCGATCAAACACTTCTGAAAAGTCCAGGTAGATGACATCGACTCCTACTCCATCATCAACAGCTTCAGTCCAGCTATTACGTGCAATTAATAGGTTAGTATTACACGAATGCTTTTGACGAAAGCCATGTTGCTCGGGAGCTATTAAGTTGTGGCTTTCCAGATACTGCATCAGCGCATCCTCGTTGATTGATTCCATCACCTTGGATAGTACGGGAAGTAGTGTAATTGGACGGTAGTTGGAAGGATCAGTGCGGCTACCTCCTTTATGGATAGGAGTGATGACCCCTCGCTTCCGTAACGGTGGAATACAGTTCTCTTCTAGACATCGCTGATAAAAAACAGCCAGTGGTTCTGCCAGATCACTCGGTACCGCCTGCAGAGACTTTGGTCGGATGTTGCCGACTCCTAGAGAACTGTGGATACGCAAGGATAACAACTTCTGCAACACAGCTTCCGTAGTGAACGTGATGTTATCTAAAGCAGATGGTGGAGGCGAGTGTTTAGGTTCGTCACCTGCTGGAACGTTTGGGAGTAATGAAACCCTAGGATAGCAGCTGCTTCCATTACTGATCGCGTGCATCCATCAGCCGTGACTAGTGCTGGAACCCCCCGCTTCACCTTTCGAAGGCCGTTAACGTGCCTGTACAGAAGTTTGCGGTTCGTGCAGAATCGCTTTATTAACTTCTGCTGATGAGTGAGCTTGTCTTCGCGGATCAGTTTCACACAGAAGTTAAGATGTGTCACGTATGCAGTCCAGGTTTCGGCATTCGAGCAGTCCTGGTGATCTCGCCATGCCAAATCCCTCCGGGACATACATTTACGTGTTCTGCTCCTAAGAAATGACTTATGCTTGTTTTTGGGTTGGAAGGACTTCTGTTTCGATGCGTGCGCAACCAGTGTGCTAAATGTCCTTGTAAAGGTTTCCCAGGCAACATCTGGGGGGCATTCGGTTAAGAAAGTCTAAGATGTATCCTTAACAAGCTTAGATAACACATTGTAGTGCGTGACAGTATGCACTTTATCATCCTTCTTTTCAGGGTACTCCGCATAGCATATATAGTCAAAGAGTAGAGTAACATGATCACTACCACCCAGTGGTGTGCTTGTAACTATCCCGCCAACCATGAGTTCTTCGTTAGTGAGTACAAGATCCAGTATCGACGGCTTGTTAGCAGTTCGAAATCTGGTGGGAGAGAGGGTGGCCAGCAATTAGTTCTTGCAAGCAGGCTTTAATATGCGTACAGTCAGTCGCCGGCGTTTCCATGTCGTGCACGTTAATATCTCCATCGCTAAGAATGTGGGTGTAGGACTTGTTCAAATCGAACTGAAAAACGTGGTTTAGTTTGGAGTCCATTTCCGACGTAGAGTTTAGTAGGCGATAAATCACAGCTAGTAGACATGAGTCCTTGTTTCGCAACCATAGGCGGCACCAAAGCGAATCAGGAGCTCGGATTTCCGGGTGATCCGTAACTTCACATCGGAGGTTTGTATTATAGTAAAGAATCACACCGCCACCCCATCCGGTTCTATCAGTCCGAAGCAGCGACATACCGGGTAAATTGATCTCAGAATCGGTTACCTCAAGGTTTAGCCATGTCTCGGTAATCATGACGAGGTCCCGCGGTTGTGAGGCATGGAGTTCTCAATGTTCGACAAAGTTGCTTAGAAGGCCTTGGGCGTTTGTGTACATGCAAGAAAGGGTTTTTGTTGGTAGGCGTGCGCTGACGTATATCAACTTTGTGTTAGTTTTTAAGCCGGCCGTTCGGGGGCCGGCCATTAATCGTTTTTTGGTTTATGTATTTCAGTCATGTTGCATGGCATTATTGAGCGTTCCTGAACAGACGTTTCACTCGTGCTGTGCTCTGTCCTGTTGTGTCGGTCTCTCCGCAGGACTGTGCAAATAAAAAACTTTTAGCGTTTGTAAGTTCCATCAAATTTCTTCCGACTTTTGGTCGTTCGCCTGCTGCCTTTAGCCGGATCTCTGTTGGCAACCTAGCTCGAAACTTTAACCAGCTATCCAGTAGAACTTGCGTCATTCCCGCGGAGTGTATCATTACTTTCATTAGCCTTGGACCGCAGCCCTTGTAGTTAGGGGATGACGGAACTGTTGTCAAGGATTTGGTAATAATATTGTCAACAGAAAGTGCTTCGCGGATGTAGCACCACTGCTCTCAGTCATGTGTTTGCGCATTGTGATCAGAAGATTCCAGAAGCTCGGGAACACCATGAACAAATATTATTTTCTTGCTATCCCTATTAGGAATGCCGCGTTGGTCAGCTGCTTCTTGTGGGCGATCTTTCCAAGGTAGGTCGGGTAATATGCGCACTTCGCTCGGTGAGTTGCGAAGACGAACTGCTGAGAACAGGACAGCCTCTGTCTCATCTGCTGAGTCTAGTGTTACTCGAATAATTCGAGGTTCACCAGAGTGCACTGAGGTTGGGTGACGCGCTACGCGTTGCAACATTGCAGGCTCAACCCGAAT